GAAGTTTTAAACTGGATTTTTTAAAAGAGCTTACCAAAGGTTGTCTTCTGACAAAATATGAGAAATTTGAAAATTCCTTCGCTGTCCCGCCATTCTCGACCGTTACGGACAGCCACTCTTAATTCTGAATTATCTTGTTTTGGCAAACTTTTCTACGCTACTATAGTTGTACCGTTTCTCTGTCGTCCGCGACCAACCAAACTACAATGACGCGGCGACTGCGGACCAAAATGAGTTCATCTAGACGCACTTTTTTGTGTTAACTTTATAATGACTCAACAACTATTGATCCAAATGTTACATCTACATTGGAAATGAAACTCCTTTTCCTGCAAGTTTGAGTGATGCATGGTTTGAACTAAACCGATGATTCATAACATGACATTTATACCAAGTAGTGAATAGACCTCATCATGGGAGGAAAAGCGTCTACAAAACAACCCCGTTTTGGACTGGTGTACAAGATTAGCTGATTATTGGCTCTACTGACTTACAGACTAAGACATCAGTGAACACTGAATATAGCAGATCAAGTAAACTGACTGGCACTGGTTTAGTTTTCAAGTACTGTGTCCCGCACTTCACTTGTTGCCGGCTGGCTTTCCATGGCAGATCTTTTGTGTCAAAGCATATAATGGCTGGTCTAGCTATGATTCTTGCCAACTTCAAATCTATAGGTTCGTTTCGCTGCAGTGGATGGATACTGATTATTGCCTGGCTTTATTCAGTGGATTTTGTTTTAACTCAAACTTGGTCATGTGGAAAATGCAGAAAAATGAGTAGCTTGGGTTCGAAATGAAGTTAGAAAGTAGCCAGTGAATATGAACCAAAACAGATTGTAGTTTGATAGAGCGAGTTGACCGACCGACCGACTTTAATAGATACATGGTCATCACTGTACATGCAAATAAGTTGATGATGTAACTAAAATGAGAACCAATCTGTCTAGCTAGTCAATAACTGATTCAGTTACAGCTAGGTATAGCTAGTTATAGTACTACTCTATGACCATATTGACATGTCCAACATTGCCAGTTTATCTTAGTTCCGACTTTTGCATTCTTGCATTAAATAGGTAATAGATCTTTATCAGTCGCTCACAGGCATTAGGTACATACAATATGTGTACTGTTCACCATCCATTCTGTTTTTTCAGTCGTTTCCATCACCGTTCAACATGTTATCAGTGGTTCCTAACACAAGCCCAAATGTTGGTAGCACGTTACCTCTACTGGATATCAGTGATGATAATACTGGAGCTACTTCGACATTGGATGATAGACAGTCCTTCGAAGATGTAGCGAACGCCGAAATAGCAGCCCTAATCATTGCAGCGTTTACACCATTTGACCAAGATCTGTCCGCGACTGGGCATAACCATTCTCCTAATACAAATCAAAATAACAACAATTTGAATCTTTTAACTGAGATCCCTTACTCCAGTGGGAATGATGTTATACCACGAAAAGAAATCAATCAATCTCCATTGAATTGTGACCCACTTTTGCCTGTGCTGGACTTCGATGATGTGTTCAAAAAAGATCTACAATTAGAAGACGAATGGGGTGGAGACCCTCCGAACAAGCTTCGATCTTGGCCAAGCAACTCTAGCATCTCGTCCGGGTACTCTTCAGATACCCCAGGTGGAGGGGGACCTAATCCAGAAGAACTTTCGTTATCACATGTAACAGAACTGGCCTCTTATGATGCTCTTGGTCCCACAGGTAAGCTGCCCCGATCACTGATTTTATTTATACGGACAAATCGATTGGTTTTCCGCTGAGAAACAAAAAGAGCCAGTGAATGCGACTACAAAGAAACCTGCCCACTCACCCCTACCCCCATAGATACTGAGGCGCAAAGCGAAAGAACTGAACACAGCTGCTTTGTTCAAGAAGAAAAATATTAAAATTCTCACCAGAACGTATGACACCGACTTATGCGGAGTGAAAACCACGAGTCAATGCTCACTGTGTTTCTCGAGTATTGCCTTGATATTACGCAACTCACAGTAAAGAAAAAAACTATTATTGATCGCCAAAACCGCAAAACTAAGTCACGTGACTGTTCGAGGTTTTGTGTTGACTACGGGTCTAGACGGGTCTATAATTATCCAGTAAAGGTCACATGTTGTGTCAGGTATGTGGGGTATGTTCTTCCTGTTTTTACAATTTGCTCGACTTTCTCTGTGCATCGACTTTGTAACGATTCGGAAAACACAAGGAACTACGGAAATGATACAGAAAGAAGAACAGGAAAACCGCTATAATTTCAAAAATCTAAAAAAAGTCATGATGGACAACAGACCAAGAGAGTAATGGTTACTGATTCTGAGTGAGTGTAACAGGTAATATATATGGATATCTTAATGATACGTACTGGAGTGAGAACCATCCATGGAATATTCTTGTTCTAGCTTCTGAACATCTTGATACGGACAGAATAGAAAAACGCTGAGAAGCTAGAATAAAATCAGAATACCGCAGCAGTGGAGTAGCATAAATCGACTAAAACCCGGCATCAGTTTAATAAAAAGATGATGAATAACCGGAAATAAGTATACTATGAGTGTTGAAAGATAGTAGCCCTTTTTTCGACAAGAGAAACTCTTTACTTTTATGCTCAGCTGTATGTATACGTTTTGTCAGTTTTGAAACTGGCGATCTAGGGAGCGCAGTTCTCATATTTGTTTTACATGATACCCCAAATATTTAAACGTTTATCAAAAACACATATAATCACTGGTAACGGGACTAGTCAATCAGACTGAAGGCTACTATACAGTAACGCATTATCGTATCGATTATTTATAATTTAGGTGTTACCGATGATCTAAGCCAGGCTAGTGCAGAATGGCAGTATTTATCTCCCTTACAATGGACTAAACACCAACTTCATGGGTTTCTTCAATGGGTGTGGCAGGTTTATGAACTAACGCCTGATATTGATGTGAACGACTTCGACTTTTGTGGATCTGAGTTGGTGGCTTTGTCTAGAGAAGAACTGCTACAGAAATCTGAATATGGAGATCTTGTTTATGAAATTATTAACTGGTGGCTCTGTGGGTCAAGTAAGTCATGCACGGCAATGAATCTACTGAAATAACTTAGTGTTGTGTGACAAACATGCCTTGATCAGTGAGTTGCAGCACTAGTCTCCCTCGCTTCCGTTTTAGTGCTGTTCGTCACGCAACGCGTTGCGTGACGACCGACACTAAAAACGGATGCGAAGGAGACTAGTGCAGTACTTGTTGTCAGACATTTAGTGCGTTAGTGTTATAGAACATGCGTATGCACTGCGTAAGTGATTGCGTTACTGATATTTAATAGTGTCACGACGTAGTATTACGTTACTACTCTCCCACTGTCCTGGGGAGTACATTAAAAAAATATTCTTGATTACTTATGCTCTTTTTCTTTCTATTTTCATAGGTCCCGTTGTCTTCCGTGAAGGTTAGTTGGCGTTCATTAATATTGATATTTAATACCAATAATGACTCGCCACAGACTTATCTTAGTTCTTTTATATATCATGTATATTCCAGGCTATTATCAAGATACCTCAAGTTTTGCAATGCAAAGTAAGTAGAGATTTTAACACGAATCAATAGATCATGGTGATGGGGATGGTGTTTCAGTGTCGGGTACGAGATAGTATAGATCAATGAGGATGTAGGTGGTTGTGGGGAAGGTGATGGTGAGAGTGATGGCGATAGTGGTGGGGTGATGGTGATGGGGATGGTGATTCAGTGTCGGGTACGAGATAGTATAGATCAATGAGGACTGGGGGTGGTTGTGGGGAAGGTGATGGTGATAGTGATGGCGATAGTGGTGGGGATGGTGATGGTGATGGCAATGAGGATGGTGATTCAGTGTCGGGTACGAGATAGTATAGATCAATGAGGATGGGGGTGGTCGTGGGGAAGGGGATGGTGGTGGTGATGGTGGTGGGGATAGTGGTGGGGATGGCGATGGTGATGCTAATGAGGATGGCGATACAGTGTCGGGTTCAAGGGGGTGGGGGAGGGGGGACAGATTGATAGATGGGGATGGTAATTTTCATTCTGGTAGTTTTCCGAGGATTTATCTGATTTGTTGTCACTTTTTTCCTCAGACACGTTGTCAGCTCCAGCACATTTTTCTACATTAGAAGGTAAACTATATATCTCTCACAAATCAATTGATATAACGTTATATATCAAGAACCTGCGGATATACGTGGTTTGCAGCCTGCATTACCTCTGCGGGCGTGGGGACCGACCGTGGGTATTCGACCGTGGGTATTACGGGATAAAGAAGTGGAATCCCTTTATTCCCCCCCCCCCCCCCCCCCCCCNCCCCCCCCCCCCCCCCCACCTAGTGGAGTCGGCCATGCCGGCCCATCTCCGAAAAAGTAAAGTTCGCGTAAAGTCAGAGTAGCTTTAGCTCCTTTTTACAGATATTCAATTGTATTTGTGTTAGTATTTGATAGAAACATGTTTAGAACACTGTATGAGTCGCACTCTGTGATAGAACTTGTGTACAACTGAACTCATGATTCTACTAGTTCTATGTTGTCGGCTCGTAGCCCGCTAGACAGTTACTTTTAAAATATTGATAATGTATTCAAACTCTCCATCTGTCAATGATAAGACTGAAGGTTGTGTATAGACAAACAGCCTGATAAAACCGTGTAAACGTATCAAAAGATGTATTTGCTGTTAGCCAATTCTAAGGAAGTGGATTACAAGAGGAAGTCAATATCTTATAAATGTTCCTTTTTCATTAATGTCACCATAGTGACCGATGTTCTTAAAGTATCGTTCTACTTCCTTTCTGCATGCATGGTATCTGATTTTCCGGTCTCTAGTAAAATCCCTGTCTAAGGGTTGCTATTTAGGAAGTACAGTTAACTGTAACACCTGTAGAGACTGTCCACATCCGAGTTAGTGCATGCCATCGTCCAATCAAAATGGGCATGCTAATCTTGGCCTTGACTTTCGCTTACGTTACTACTGATTCATTGCGCGTGGGTGGAAATTATCATATCAAATTCTCGACTATTCCAACGACTTTCTGCTTTGGATTTTCAACTTTTTTTTCTATATCTTGGTCTAAAACACTCGTAATTATATCTCTAATGTTTATATTAATTTGTTTGCTGTGGAACTATGTCAGTGATGGAAGAACAAGACTACAGATAATTGTCTGCTGACGTAGTCTTAAATACAAAATTCCCTTGTTTCCGCCTGATATATGAGCGATACGTGTAGTACGTGCAGTTTAACTTCCGGGTATAATTGCAATACTCGTCACGACAAAACTACTTTCGCTTGTGATATCTCGCATGTATGTTCGTCAAATAGGAGTCTTTTATACGGATATTAACGATAAAAAGAGGGAATAAAGAGAGACAAAGGAAGAAGGAAGCTTTAGACTCTGTGTTCGTTCAACCGCGTCTTAATGCAAATATCGAGTTATAACAAATATTCAGACGACTGCAATCGAATCTCATTTGAAGAGCAAAAATTATCTTTCTAGGGGGGGGGGCAAATGTGCAAATTCTTTATAGGCTTTAATTCATGTTATAAAAGTATTTAAATGAAAACGAAAAAGCTAGTCTAGTAAGAATTAAAAATTGAATGATTAATGTCGGTTAATGTTAAGTTGTTTAATATAAGACGTAATAATAAAGGTCATAATAAACTGAACCTATGCCCACCCCGGTATGCAGTTAGTTTTTCTTGCCGAGATATTATGATATGCAGGGGCAGTTTACTTAGCTCTCTGCACGAAGTGTTCGACCGAAGAGGTTTGGCTTGTAACTTAGAAGAAATGCCGTATTACTGCTCTTTACGTATATTTAGCAAGGAAAAGAAGAAGAAACAACGCAGAGGTAAAGCATATCTAGTTTAGTTTATAATCCTTGAAGTACTAATATTCGTGTTCGAGTCTAGATTAACGTTCGAACAACTGTTATAACCCGTAGTTGGAAGAGAAAGGCAGTGAAGGAACTTGGCACAAACTGCACTAAAACGGCTCTATTTTGTTAAGTTATCAAGACAATTCATTACAATTTGAATGAAAGTTGTTCTGCTTAGAATTGAATACATCAGAGTCGGTTGTTTGCTGTAAACAAACGAAGAATTATGTGGAGCCAAGCTCACCCTCAGATTTACGATAGATGCTTCTAGCTTCCGTGTAAAGTTACTGTATTGTTGGTGGTAGTGTGGCCGAGATGTCTTCGAGAGAGAGTCTTTGATAGTGTTATCACATGGTCAATACCATGATATCTTTTAAAAGATATGTTTCTAGTAGTGAAGGTCGTACGAAAGTTCTTTTTTCGGTATTGGAAATCTATGAATTGCTTGAGGAAGCAGCAAAGCGCCCCACAACATCTAAGCAGCCAAGCTATTTTTAGATGTCTTGCTTGAAATTGCTCAATCAGTTATGAAAATCATTCCTTTATTTTCTTGTTTTCTTCGTAATTACACATAAATGATTCCCATATGATTTTCGTGTATTTTTACCGGTGTTTACCTGTGGCATCGAGAATTTCACGTTTGTGGTTTTGTATTAAACTCGTGAATTCTTGTTTACTGTCAAGACTGTGACATATCTGATGCAAATCAGATTAATATTTGTTTGAAATAACAAGTAGTTTTTACTTTTAAACATTGCTTTATTGAGATACCATTTAAATTTCTGCAAATTTATTAGTGTTTAGGGTGAAATCAACAAGGTCTTTTGCAAAGAAGCTCTGTGCATCGTGTACGTGCACCCATGGCTTACCAAGTCGGCATTCACCTGACCAAAATTTACATATAAGCTTTTTCTTGCAAAACGATCATTAACTGTGAATAAATTCTGAATGAACCACGAGCTAATACACGTCTACTAACTGATAACGTTTAGAAAGAGCCACAAGAGAATATATTTCCTGTTGAAATGATAAAGCTATTTGAGGTTGAGTACTTGGGAAGGCACACGAACAACATCGTAGAGATAGCAGTTAAAAAGTTAACCAATGGCTCCATTCAAAGTGTTTTTAATTCGGTCTAGCGATCAATAACTTCCTTGTGTAGCAGTAGTCTTTCGATTGTTCCACATTTTAACCTCTCGGCACCAACGTGTTTTACTTGTCATTAAAATAGAAATCGAAATCAAAGAGGCGACAGTACTGCTAATGCTGTTATGTCAAATTGAGTAAATAGCCACAATACTATCAGCTACCTATGTATTTATCTGGGCCTGATTCAGCTTGTTTTCTTTTGCTAGATGTATTTTAATGTATTCACAAATGTTTAGAATTCTAAAGGCCTATTATGATTCTGTGAAAAAAACAGTGTAGTTTTACTGGTGTAGCTTTACAAAGTATGAGTACTAAAACCGAATATCTAGACATGATGATTAATCACTGTGAAGTAAATGTTTGACCCTAAGTACTAGTCGAGGTTGTTCAATGAAGTATTACTTTGAATAAATCGCAAGAAGATTTATTGAACATTGCTAGGATATAATGGCCAGTATAAAGTAGGAACTGAATAAATTATAATGAATGAAAACTTGATCTGAATATATTTATATGTAGTTCGTATGTTTACTCTTGCACATCATATATTCATGTCTCCATTACTCGTTTTTCTATAATAATCAAACGATTGTCATTTTTCTCATAGAATCAGCGGCGCTCAAAGAGTCTGCTAGTAATGGTGACTCTAATTCCGTCACAAGTTCATCGGATGCGAGATTTGGTAAGCACTTTTCACTTCCTGGTCACACTCTTACGATATACGTGACGCCTTTTCTTATGTTTGTCACGCCATTGTACTGGCACATATTACATGACCTTTCAGCCTTTGTAGGTAAAATATGTGACTTACAACACATCGTACTTATCTGTTTATAGATGAACCCAAAAATCAATCCAACGATTGTACCTGTCCACAGCAGGCAGAAGCGGATCTCAAAGGCCTTCCTGGTAAGATTATAGGTTTCCATATGTAAAGGATATAAGAGTGATCACTAGTTTCCATATCAAACCACTCATTACCAGGGACCGCGGAGACTTGGGGGGGCTGTAGCCCCCAACTTTACCTTTTCCCATACTATAGTCTTTTACATATTCCAATCTAAGCCACCCACTTTTTAGGGTGGTCCGCGGTCCTTGATTAGCATCCCCCAGGCGATAGATAATGACAGATCCCTGACATACTTTGTTTCCTTCAGTCTCTCCCCCAGCGTCTACTCCATCAGCTGTAACCAATGGTTTTACGACTATCTGCAGCCCAATGTCTCCTTCGTTTACTGGTTCACGTATCTGGTCACCAACTAGCTTCCAACCGTCAGGTCTTCTTTTGCCACGTCATACCATGTTTCCAGTGCGTGATGGTCTCCCCCCTGTACCACCTTTGATACCTTCACCCAACAGCCCTGGTGCACCCGTTAAGTTCGTTCATTATAAACAGACTATCAGCCCAACCAAGACGTTCTCTCGCGGTGATACCGACACGCCAATGAAGCCAATAGAAAGGGATGCTGGAGTGGCAATCAGGAAGAGAGGGCACTCACCAAATAAGAACCACTTTAATTTTGAAACCAGCGAAACCGCTGCCAAGAAACGAGCATTTGCGCACGACACCTGCGACAGAAGTGATACTACAGCCCCTCAAGAAAACTCTGAATTGAATTACGCTGGAGCACAAAGGGCAATTGTTCAGAATGGTACGCATTCATCAAAGGAGGCAGCAGTTCGTTTATCACGAAGAGACCCTGTTATCCCATCACGACTTAGCGACTATGAAATGCCACATATCAAAACTGCGCATCAAAAAGTCACTCGCGTTATGAAGAATCAAGATACAACGATACCCGTGATTAAGTACAGCAAAGCAAACAAAAATGGTCACCATGACAACAAGAACGGTTTCTTGGAAGTGAAAAAAGAACCATTTAAACCAACTGTTAACAGAACTGTTCCTGGCAACAACCTTACCCCAACGACTTTATCTCCTAAATCAAGTGATGAAGACAGTGCGCTCTCTCCGCTTTCACCAACCTCACCCTACCAACCTGGATATTCGTCTCCAGCTACTGAACGAACGAGACGAACAAGCTCTAGTTCTACTGATTCTGGTACTGAAGAACCTGGCGAAGGTAAGATACCATCAACTGTAGTCTCTGTATTGGGAAAATGAGGACTCCCTGTTCCTTAAAGTAATGCTAACAATCTTGTTTTATTTAGATGGCACAGATATATTAAAATCACCATCTGCTGTAAAGAAGCCTGGAAGAAGAAAACGTACGTATTTGCGGTCATCCATTCAAACATTGTTTTACTAAGGCACGCAACCTCCACGGAATAAGCCCACTGTCATAATGTCAGATATAACTATATAGCGCGCTTCCTTACGGCCCACGGAGGTACTATGCCGGATTTGATCAGTTACCATAGTGATACACCATACACCATACACAACCCACACCTTTACATGTCGTAGGCTATTGATATGGTATCTTAAATGGTTCTCTTTTGGACTCCTAGGGTTTTTTCGGTTCTCTGGTTTTTCCTCCCTTCTTTCAAACCGACCCCGTTGAGCTGAATAGCGATAGCAAGTTTTCCCCCTTGATATTAGTATTTTAATTTATGTTTGTCATTTCAGAAACCCGTTCGCTGCATCTGTGGGAATTTCTGAAGGAACTATTGGAGAACGAAGAAACTTGCCCACGTTACATCACGTGGATATCACGTGAAGAAGGTGTGTTCCGATTGGTTAACTCGGGTGCTGTTGCTAAGCTATGGGGTCAGAGAAAGAACCGACGCAACATGAACTACGAGAAAATGAGCCGAGCTTTGAGGTACTATTACGAGAGGCACATTTTAGAGAGGGTGCCAGGCCAAAGGCTGATTTACAAGTTTGCCCCAGACACGATGAAGGACTGTAACTTTAGTTTCATGAAAAAAACTTAGACAGAATAATACAGAATAACGAATACTGTAATCTCTATCCATACAAATTACTTCTATGAAGTCATAATCTTTTGTAACTCTATTTTTGTACATATCTACGAGGGTTTTTCTTGTTCTTGAGTTTTGATGCGTTTCCTAGGCAACACGCAGTTTCTAACTTAAAGAAGAAGAAAACTAACAAATCAGCTATTTTTTATTCGACATTTTTTTGTATTACAAATTCATTGACCAGTTGCTGAAAGAATCTTTGATAAAAGATGTGTTCAATTGTGGTATGTAATCCTACTTTATGCATCGTATTTTTGGGGTTTGACACATATCAGAGTAAAACCATCTTAAAGGTAATGTAGAGACTTTATTGATTGACATGGTGACGTTAAAGGTTAATATTACTTACTTTCTTTTCGTTTTAAAAATTCGTTATAATTATCAACGATAGTTTATGTTTAATTGGTTTATTTCATTATCGTCTTTAGTTTCGGTGTTTTTTGCTTATGTCCAATTCATACTGACCACCTCTCACTTCAAGCCTAATGTCATCAGATTTGCTTCAATAGAACAGGTTTGAACAGCCTGGCTTGTAAGATGATTGGCAGAAACTCATTTTCCCAATCGCACGCGCGAAATTGTACGATTTGCCTTTGCGACAAAGGAGAAGTTTTGGTGGACGTCAATCATTAAGAGGTTTTCACGATACTACAGCTCTTGTACAATTTCGCGCGTGTGATCAGGAAGCGCTGTATAGACATTTTCATAGTCTATGATAGTGTTAGCTGCACAGAGTACATCAACATGTGTACTCAGTGATAGTAAAGGTAGACGGTGGTAGGCAAAGCATCCATGCATGTAATAGTATATGATAGGGAACATAATAAGCTTTTAAAAGCTGTGCCAAAACAAGAAAAAAATAAGCAAAGTGATTGCATGTTTTATAAATTAGTGTAAATAACCAGTACGTATTTTTGATAACAGTAATGATAATAAAGTTCAAATTTATAAACACCAACATATCTATGGCAGGGGCGTATCCAGAATTTGCAATTGGGGGGAGGGGGGGATCCTTACATACCAAATTGTCACTATGACGTCATATGACGTCAATATGACGTCATAGCAATCTATTGTTTTGACGAAAAAGGAACATGGTCGATAGAGGGGAACAGAACAACGTACGCGGCTATAATTGAAACAAAAAGCGTTCTGTAGGACGAAACAATAAAAGATACGTTAATTAATCACCAACACCTATCAAGAAAAAGTTAAAGTGAGGTTTCGCGGGCTTTTGGCTTTTGGTCATGTCCATATATGGAACGTTTTGATCAGGAAGCCCAATGAATAATTTGGATTTCAAACAATTTTTATTTGAAACGAAACGAAAAGACGGCTCCGAGAAGCGAGAGAACTGATTTTCTTAACTGCTTAAGTCAAGTCTAAACATATCTATACACACTGCATCAACGGCCGGTTAGATTTTTTTGGCTTTGAAAGGGGGGGTCACGGGCACCCTGTGACCCCCTGGATACGCCCCTGTATGGAGATATGCATTGAGAGAGATCGTTACTAGTGTGTACAATAAACATAATACTTTATGTATTTATAGACAACTAATGTTATCTGTTGGGCATGTAACTATCGTACACAATGTTTGATATCATAGTGCCCTCACACTCAAATAACCCTTGATATCATAGTGCCCTCACACTCAAATAGCCCTTGATATCATAGTGCCCTCATACTCAAATAACCCTTGATATCATAGTGCCCTCACACTCAAATAACCCTTGATATCATAGTGCCCTCATACTCAAATAACCCTTGATATCATAGTGCCCTCACACTCAAATAACCCTTGATATCATAGTGCCCTCACACTCAAATATAACCCTTGATATCATAGTGCCCTCACACTTAAACAGTCAGGTCAAATGAAGTTATCTTGGCGTCATTGCAAAAACAATTTTGAATTGTTTTTTGAAGCAACTACAGAAAATCGAGAGCTCACAACAAATGATTTGTACAGGTTTTGGAATGAGAGCTAATGAAGCGAGGAAATAATGAAATTGAACAGAAATGTTTGAAGCAGAATCAATGTCTTGAGTCCTGGTTAGCAAGTCAAACCCTTCTAGTATGACTACATGTACATCTAAGATGCTTTTTTTCCATTATGATAGTGAGTTGCCCATTTGCTATATATAAATGGGGTTTCTAGCGTAGACATAAGCTAATTTTCCTTCTTTCCTTTAGTAGTTTTGGCTTGTTTGCATTGGGATGAGGATTTTTTAGAATGCTGGTTTTTCACGATATAAGAATGCAAGTAGAAATTAGAAAATAGAACAAGAAAGGAAACCATGTAAGCAAGAAGTGCGTACTGCATCCATAAGGGGAACTTACACTTGCGTTTAAGACTTACAATACCATGACAGAAGACTGTGCAGAACTGAAGCTGAAAAAAACAATATTTTATCATCATGATCATATTACAATACCCTTGGGTGTGTGAAAACAATATTATCATCATGATCATATTACAATACCCTTATGGATTTTGTATTGGATGATGATTCACTAGAAGCTTGTATGGTCATCAAACTCATGCATCACAAACAATGAAACGTTCTTTACCAGTTGAAATTGGGTGAGAAACTTTTTCCACCACAAGTAGTCACGAAGTGCTGGAAACACTGATAGTCCATAATAGGTATACATGATGACATGGATGAAGGAGTTTATCATTGCACTGAAGAATGCTGTAAGGTAATGATATATATATTACATCATGGTAAGTACATATCTGGGGAGAATCAATGAATCAGAAAAAAAAAGTGGGCCACTTTTAATCAAAAGGGACTAAAGGGTAGGCTACTAAGATATGTTTATTAAGATTTCTGATTTTTCCAGCCCTCTCCCCTCCCCCCTCCCCCTGTACTTTATGACCAATCCCTATCCCTTAGGACGTCTGTAAATAAATTATTTGTGATTTTTACCCCATTTACTTTTGATCTTGTTTTGCATTTTAATTGTTGTTGTTGTTTAGTGAATCTGTTATCCCAGGATGCTGGACTGTAGTCTGAGAATACTGCTCACTCGAGCAACCAATTAGAATGCACAATTTTTAGTATACCAGATCGGGAAAAAATAATAAGTGACAATAAATATATATACATACACTGTCCACCAGCAACCCATTTAATGCCAATCCACCACAACATTACCATAGATGAATGATGATATACATGAAGAAAACTGATCTGGTTGTTCTTCTTTCTCAATATGAAAAAAATCTAAAGAGGCAAAGATATAATTTTATCAAAGAGAGTTACAAGTGTTCAATAATTTATCTATCAGTGATAAACTCTATACTTACAGTATCAAGAAACTCTAGAATCTTAGATAAATAAAACCACCACAGTACTGCTGCAATCTATTAAAGTAAAGTATGACAAAATATGATTGGCTTTATTGGTAGATAATATAAAGTGAATGAAAAATTGTGTAGCACTGATCTGACAGCAGTAGACATGGCTATCAATGCCTCTATCTTTTATGTTTAAGTAACCTCTAGCCAAAATGGATCCATGTTTGGACTAGTGTGTAAAGTTTGTTCATGTTTTGCTGGCAAAAAGGAAATAGGAAAGCTGTTTTGTCTAAGCGTTAATAACATCATGTAGGGACTCCTTGCCGGCAGACTAAATAGAGGTTAATTATTATGCATATACATACCCTCAACTCCTTAGAGTCATCTGTATACTTGACTTCCTGACATGAGTAACTGTAGCCTGCATCCATTGTTGACAGGAAAACCTATGATAAACCATATTATATAGTACAAAAAGAGATAAATGAGTTGCAGCTTGCATTAACAGTGCATTCTATTGACCCTATTGTCCAGGCACAGATCCAGGGATGATGAGAGGGTAGCTCAAGTTATCCCCCTTTTCACACAAATGAAAACAATAGTCATCAAGATCAACTTTATGCGTTTCCTGTGGTTTTGACCTAAGGTAACAGGCACTACCCTTTTGAAAATCTTGGATCTGCCCTGCCCAGTTATCATTTATGCAGTCATGATATATACATATATATGTAATATATGCATGTATTACTGTATGCCATATGCATGCAACAGAAGCTGTCACAAATTACTACCAAGTTTTTAATATCATATCAACAAACCAGATTGTATATATTAGGTATGTATGGTATAAATGATGAGCATAGTTAAAGTAGATGTAGATCATACCTCAATGAATATGTACAAATTGAGTATGGTCATAGCTGCATTGTAAATTGCCATGGGCCACTTTAGTTGGAAAGGTTTTCTATTTCCCATTAGTTTTGGCCCAACTAACACTATCGTAAGGTATACAAGAATCAAGACAACAGGCCCTTGAAAGTGTTTGACTAATGGCCATTCTGATGTCCTTGGATCTTTATAAAACAAATAAAAAGAAAAATATCACAAAATAAATTTATACATGTACTATCAATCTATGTCCCAGCCTTGTGAGTATTTATACCTCGAACCTTCTGGAATCCACATTACGCCCCTTAAATCTGAGGCAGGAATCATGGAATATAGTTTGGAGTGGAGGGCAGCTATTATCAGGGGGTGTGGGGAAATATCATTACTCCTAAAAATTTGAAATTGGGGCTCTCAGAAATGCAATTTCCAGTGCTGCGGTTTTGAGGGGCAACAGACCTTTCCTGAATTTGCTTGGATGACCACAAAACAATGGTTGGAAGTCAAGACTGAGCTTGATTCTTTTATTCATCGTGTCCAACCTTGACTTGAAACCAGCTTTGTTTCGTGATAAGTCAAGGGAATTCGGGAAAGGTCTATTGCAACATATTGTATATTATATCAACTCTTAAAGCTTTAGGCAATTCACAACAGGCTAACATAAAGCATGCATGGCTAAAAGCAATAGGGGATAAGCCCCCCATTTTTTGGTGAGGTTATGTTTTTGGTGGTTATATATAACTGGGGGGATGGGAGGGGGCAGATAGGGGGCTTATGACTGGGGAGTCTATAACTGGGAGACAGGTGGGCACATAATTTCAGGGGGGTTTAGTATAACTGGGGGGTCTTATGACCAGGGTTCTACAATATGTCTTATTATGGGATAGATATACGTGCATACATTCATTTGCTATCATAATTAATTCAATTTAATATAGCTACTGTCAGTGTTCATTTGGGACAATATAAAGAATGGGTAAAATTAGACTAACTTATAAAAGGATGATGCACATGGGTGCTGAAACGTATGATATAGTTACTGTGTAAACTTGTACTATGATATATATAAAGTCAAATGATTTGCACATAATTTTACTTGATATATATATTTAATATATTCTCTCTCTCACTATCACGAGTTTAAAACCATTTTTAAATTTAACAAAATAGAAATAATACTTTACCACTGTTTGCATCTGCAAAACGATAAAACTGGTGGAAGTCTTCTATCCATGAGGTAAACATGATGGCTAGCGTACTCCGGCCTCTTGCGATACAGACTGTATCTTATATCTAAGAAACTATACGATAAAAGGCACTCGTGAACTCTTGGTATATTAACTGTTGAAAATGTCATGAACTCAGATGGTCTGTACTTTGACCGATAGAAAAAATCTAAAAAATCTGATATAATGACATTAAGCCATTGCTAATATATAATAAGCTGAAGATTTATCTACAGTAAAATGTATGCTATCCAATTTTCGTAAAATACAAATACTAAAATGAGTCGTACCTGCAAGTGAAGGCGGATATCGAAAGAGCATCTTGGTTACAGCTAGGGTTGACAGATATATCTGCAGGGAACAGGAAGCATGTGTTTACAAACCAGCTGCATGTCAAATGAATAGAACAAAGAACATCTCGCCACCAGACATCAACCAATCACACGTCGAGAACAGTACCTTATTAAACCCGACCATTGAACCATAACGTTCCTTTTTCGATCATCTACCATCAAATCTGGTCTACACCATATCTCAAAGGTAAAACCACGAAAGATCTTCAGTTAAAGCTGCACAAAATGCAAACTTTTGGCTCGTAGAACGGCTCGTGGTGCTGATTGTAAAGTTTTTAAAACGAGACCAAGTACACATTGCGCGATCACCAACAAACAACACGTACTAGCAAATTGAACAAGCTAAATACCTCTGTTTTAATGCTAAACACTCAGGTTTAATGCAGCTCTTTAAGCTCAATTGATTAAGCTTTGCACTAGAAACTGTATATTTTGTGCGATATTTTGTGAGCCATGATCAGGTCGATCAGGTTGGAGCTGCCATGAATCTTGATCTTGCGTAATCGATCAACTGCAAATCAAAAATAATTTGTACGAAATTATGTACTTTTATTGCGTCAGTGTAACTTTTTTTCCGATCTGAATTTTTTTCCCATGTAATAACTAAGCTTAATGTCTTTACTATACTTTAATTCAAAATATCAATTTAAATCTAAGATTGTTTACCTTTTCTATTTCACAAACCTCAGTCTGTTGATCATGGCCTCAAGTCAACGTCTATCAACCTATTATGATTTTGTAATGGCTGTGGGAGGTAAGATTATTTTTATTAATATCTCATTTATTTATTAGCACCATTCAGCACTAGCCTTTTCTTACTTTCAGCCATTGTTGCTATGGGGATGGTAAGCTGAAAGGGAGGGACTAATTACAATTTGATATGCCTGGTATATTGACAACCATTGAATGCAAATGTACATATATGCAAGTACACATGAATGCATGCAGAAGGCCCCTTGTTGTTATATATATATATATGCTGTACTCCACACTAGCTAGCTAGCAAGGGCAGCTGAGCGTATTGTATTCCAATAGTTATAATTCCAATTGGGAAGCATGGGTGGCATAATTAAGACAGCGCCAAGGTGATCCAGGTAACGATCCCTGGACATATTGGCATCATTTATGAGTACTAGAGTTGCTTGTTGATTCTCTCCTGTGCATGTGCTTCAAGGGTTACGTCCGGATCCCTCCATGAAAATAAAATGGAAACCAGTAGATAAAGAGCTAAATTTCATTAGAGTGCTCACACTAAATCCGTGAAACAAATACTAATTTTTAGCACTAAATAGTGATAATTAAACAATAGAAAACAWAGGATTCTGTATGAAATAGTACTAATTAGTACTATTTAATGTTCACGGTTTTAGTGCGTGCACTCTATCATTTATTTCATTAATTTCCCCCCTTGTCTTTAGATCCAAGGACACATGAATGGCCATTGGTGGCTACTCCCTGGCCAACTATTTTCCTGATGGCAATCTATTTGCTGATAGTAAAAATTGGTCCAAAATACATGGAAAACAGGAAGGCATGGGATTTGAGAGAGGTCTTAGTGGTGTATAACTTTGGATTGGTATTTCTGTCAGGGTACATGCTTTATGAGGTGATTATCAAATGATAAAACAATAATATTGCCTCATAAATTGGATATGAATTGTAACTTTTGTTTTGTTTGTTCTCAGTTTATTGCCTCTATTCTAAGTATGCCAGATTTTAACCTGATGTGTGAAAGAGTGAGATATGAAGATGATCCCAGACAGCTTAGGGTAGGTCATATATACAATAATATGCATGTACTATATTATGTTATTTTCTATGTTACTACAGGCTGATTGCTTTATGCACACATTTTAAAACTTTAAGAATTAAAGTATACCCTGTAAAAAACTTGAGGCTGATATAAGTCAGGGCACAGCTAACTCACAGATTGAATTGAAACTTGGTGTATTACTTTTTGTGAGTCTTGAAGAGTCTTGGGGAGCTGAAGAAAACCTACCTTGCCATATATATATTCATGAAGACTTGAATGATTCTCTGAAATAACAAACCTTCTTCATTCAGTTAGCCAGGGTCATTTACATCTACTACTTGTCCAAGTTTGTGGAATTCTTTGACACGGTGAGTATTGTATACGTACATCATTGTATTGTACTATACATTCCACAGATGATCATATGCAGATACTTGATTTATTGTTGCTTTGTTTTAGTTTTTCTTCATACTTCGTAAGAAGAACAATCAGATAACGTTTCTTCATGTGTATCACCATGCTACTATGTGCCTGTTATGGTGGATGGTCTGCAAGTGGATTGCTGGTGAGTATCAAATGAAGTCTTTATATATGACTAAACGCCATCATATATATAGGGCAGTGTGCACATTATGTTCTTTTATGCATCGTTCATCTAATATATTTGTTACCTTCATGAGCTAGCTGATCTGCAATTATTCATCATAGCAAAATATTTCATCTGCAGTGGCTTGTTACTATAGCAAGGTGCACTCATTATTAAGTCCACTTTGTGGACTATATTATTTATTAATGACTATTTTTTTCTTTTGTCTTCCACAGGTGGCATAAGTAAGTGGAAGTTCTGTTCTAATTAAGATGTAAAACTATTGGCCAGAGTTATTTTCATGAATATTATACTTTTCATAAACTGTTAACAAATTATGATATAATGAAATGTAATGTTTTTTTCAGCTTATTTTGGGGCATCCTTCAATAGCTTCATTCACATCATCATGTATTTATACTATGGTCTCTCAGCCATGGGTCCTTCAGTCAGAAAGTATTTATGGTGGAAGCGCTATCTGACCAAAATGCAACTGGTAAGCTAAGTCACATTGTTTTTCATTTATTTAAAATTCAGATTTGATCTTAAGTTCTTATTGCAACCATAATAAAGTGATGTAGAGATGAATTCATAACGTTAAAAACTATTATTATTAAATTCTAAAATGTTCTAATATGCACCACTGATAAGCTAAATAATAAAGTTAAATGCTGTCTATTACTTTATAATACATTGTAAAGCAGGTAAATATTGATAAAACTTGGTACTAAATATAAATTTATAAAAATAAAATTGCTGCACTGTTCTTCTTTGAAGTATTGAAAGATGTAGATGTATGTTAAATAATAATAATTTGCACTGAATCCACTAAAAGCAAGGAATAATATTCTTCTTAAATGTTTCATAAAAACTCTTCATGTCTTTCAGCACAATGTATTGGACCAGGTATAAAATAATTGTGTTAGGATATCAATATTGCACCAGATTCAATGATGTCATACATGAGTAGAGTTGGTTTTTGGTTCTCTACGTACTGTGCTTAGCTTCTAGGGTTGTCTTCCAGGTTTTCCGGTTTTCTTCTCCATAAAAACTAACTACTAAATTCCAATTTGATCAGGCGTCGAAAGCTTAAACATGAGCCTCTGGCTTGGGAGACTGAGTAATTACTCCCTGCACTCGACGTAAAATAAATTTACATATTTGTCTTACATTTCCATCTACAGATCCAGTTCTTGGCTGTGATTTATACTGCAAGTTATGCATTATACCATGATGATTGTGGAAACCCCAGGTTCTTTCTTTGGCTTCAGTTGGGATATGGAATGACACTGATGATACTTTTTTCTCACTTTTATATGATGACATACATTAAAAAGGGTGATGAAAAGAACAAGAAAGTGCAGTAACAATACTTCACCAC